CCCGTATATCCTGGGAGCAAGGTCAATAGCTTTCCCCATCGCCGCTGGCAACACTGCCGTTCTCAAGGCTTCAGAGTTCTCCCCTCGAACCTTGGTTGAGATGGTCTCCTGCTTCCACGAAGCCGGCTTGCCCAAGGGTGTTTTGAATGTGATTGTTCACGAGCCCGCCAACGCTGCTGCAATCACATCATCGCTGATTGCTCACCCTGAGGTCAAGAAGATCAACTTCACCGGCAGCACAGGCGTCGGCCGCATCATCGCAAAGCTGGCAGGTGAGAACCTGAAGCCAGTGCTGCTGGAGCTGGGAGGCAAGGCGCCGGCCATCGTATGGGATGACGCCAACCTCGAGCTGGCCGCAGATCAGTGCGCAGTTGGCTCTTTCCTTCATGGAGGGCAAATCTGCATGAGCACTGAGCGCATCATTGTCCACAAGAAGATTAGTGAGCAATTCCAGTCGAAACTGTCGGCCTCGATCGAAAAGATCTTCCCGTCGCAATCCGATGCGCCTGTGCTCATCAACGCGGTGGCTGTTGAGAAGAACAAGAAGCTTGTCAAGGATGCTGTCGGCAAGGGCGCTGCCCTCGTTGCCGGCGACGTTGATGCTGAGCAGACGTCAAAGACAAGACTGCGGCCCATCGTCATCAAGAACGTCACAACCGACATGGACATTTACAAGACAGAGTCCTTTGGCCCCTCCGTAGCGCTCTTTGAGGTAGAGACCGAGGAAGAGGCAATCAAGCTCGCCAATGACACAGAGTACGGCCTGACATCTGCCGTCTTCACAGAGGATCTGCGGACGGGTCTCCGCTTCGCAAAGGAAATTGAATCGGGCGCCGTCCACATCAACAACATGACTGTCCACGACGAGCCTGGTCTGCCCCACGGCGGCGTCAAGTCGAGCGGGTTTGGCAGGTTCGGCTCCTCTGGGCTGGACGAGTGGGTGAGGACCAAGACGATTACCTACCGGAACTGAAGTTTGGTGGTGTGCTTTTCGTAGCGTTTAGATACCTTGGCCCTGTCCGAATGGAAAGAAGGGGCTTATTCCACGGTTCATTCTGGTTCCGATGCAAATTCCGTGTATCCGTAAACGACTTATTGGCTTCCCTCGCCTAATGCGGCATCATTGTATGACAAAACTGTTACGAATAGAACCACGTGTCTCGGAGAATAGATACTACTTCTTACTTCCCACTATCCCAAAAGTCGATGAGGTGTCAATAGAGTGGCGTTGATCGTTATCAGCCAATGACGATCATGGGGAAGCAGTGCCACGTGAGTGCATAATTGCACTTTGGCTACCTCGTTCCGTTACACGATCGGCACACTTCATCTTTTGCCCCTCCACCCCTCCAGAATATTGGGTGTTCCACGTTCCACAGTCGATCATAGGTGGGAAGCCACATCGGCAATGATTAGAGCCGCGACAACGGAAAGGGGAGTGTTCGCTTGGCGCAGGCAGGTACACAGGGCCATTGCTTGGGTTCGATGGCATATCAATTAAGTTTGAGCCACTGACGGAGAAGGTTTTTAGTGAAATTCGACCGCATGCTGCATGAAAGCAGATGGAACAATGCTGACAGGAATACTTCAACCATTGGACTGCCATCGCGAGTAGGTTTCCTCCCCGCAATTGCAAATCTGGAGTCAGAATTTGAGAGGAATTGCTTGCGGCTTTGTTGCCGTGGATCCAGAAACGGGGATTTTGTCCTGCCGAAGAATTCGCGACATGTCACAATGAATACGACAACTGCACTCCTTGATTCTTAACTCCCCGGGTGCCCTGTGTGTCCCGGAATAGATGTGGTCAGATGTAATAGGACCCTATATCCCCTAACTCCCCTAGTGCCCATGTGATATTCAGGGAAAGCGCACGTTTCCAATGCAAGAAGTGAAGCTGAGCATGAGAGCCGAGTCTCTTATCGTAGGCTTTGTGTTGAGATGCGCCGGCAGTCTGATACCCAAGTGTGTGAATGGGAGCAAAGAAGACGAAATGGAAAGGTCAAAATGCGAGTGATAGCTGTCGTCCGTGCGGACCCTGTCAAGCTTCCGGCGCAATTGACGCTAAGCCCCTTTGGTATGCAAGCTCTCGGGATCCTTGCATCACAAATTCGAGTCGCATCTCGAGAATCTTCAAGGCCGACTAACATTTGCACTCCCGATTGCCAGCAATCCCGTACAATGCTTCCCGCACGGTCTCTCCGACCAGCCTTCCGTGCGGTACCGACCCTCCTCCGAAGCCCGGCAGCGGCACCGAGACCCCAATGCCTCCAGAGACGATGGTACGCCGACAAGAAAGCCGCACCACCACCATCACCGGCCGCCGCCGTCGCCGAAGATGACCTTCCCGACCACCGCAAGCTGGGTGTCCAGCAGGAGCTCTTCACCTCTTCCGTCTACAGCCCCGGTTCCCCGATATTCCTCCCGAACGGCACGCGAATCTTCAACCGGCTGGTCGATTTCCTACGGCGGCAGTACGTCCACTACGGCTTCGACGAGGTCATCACGCCAAATATCTACAAAAAGTCGCTGTGGGAGGTGTCGGGCCATTTACAAAACTATGCCGACGACATGTACACCGTCACCAGCCGCGCGCGCGCCCCCGAGGAGAAGACGAGCTGCTGCAGCGGCTCTCACAGAGACCAGCCTCACGAGGGAGCTAGCGGCGAGCAGGCCACCAGGCAAGCCGAGGGCGAGGACGACGACTACGGCCTCAAGCCCATGAACTGCCCGGGCCACTGCCTCATCTTCGCCTCCAAGAACCGCAGCTACCGCGACCTGCCCATCCGCTACGCCGACTTCAGCCCGCTACACCGCAACGAGATCTCGGGCGCCCTCAGCGGCCTGACGCGCGTGCGCCGCTTCCACCAGGACGATGGCCATGTCTTTTGCCGCCCAATCCAGATCCAGGAGGAGGTTTTCAAGACGCTCGACTTCATGAAGACGGTCTACGGCGCGCTCGGGCTCGAGCAGTTCGACTTTGCTCTCTCAACCAGACCCGCGGACCACTACATTGGCACCGACGCCGAGTGGGCGCGGGCCGAGTCGCAGCTGCGCGACGCGCTGGAGCAGGCAGGGCTGAAGTACACCGTCAAGGAAGGCGACGGCGCCTTTTACGGCCCCAAGATCGATGTGATGCTGCACGACTCGCACGGCAAGTCGCACCAGGCCGGCACAATCCAGCTCGACTTCCAGCTGCCGCAGCGCTTCAACCTCGAGTACCAGGCACCCGCGCCTGCGCTAGAGGCGCAGGGTCTGCCGCTGGACGGCGCCGACGTGTCGGCGGCGGACCTCGAGATGTACGGGCCGGTGCCGCCCGTCATGATCCACCGGGCCATCCTGGGGTCAGTCGAACGCCTGATGGCGCTGCTGATTGAGGAGTACAAGGGCCGGTGGCCGTTCTGGCTGAATCCGCGGCAGTGCGTGATCCTGACCATCAACGACACGGAACCCGTCATGAGCTGGGCGTCCGAGGTAAAGGATATCCTGACGGGCCACGACCGCGTGCGGGACCCGGCGAACCCGCGGCAGCCGCGCCCCACAGGCTTCGCGGTCGAGATCGACGCCAGCGCGCGGTCGCTGGCCAAGAAGCTCAAGGAGGCGAGGGAGAAGCAGCCCGGGTTCATATTGGTGGTGGGCAAGGGCGACGTCGCGGCGAAGCAGGTAACCGTCGAGGCGACGGACGGCCCGGAAAGCTCAGGGGCCGGCGCCTCGAGGGGGGTAAGTAGACAGCAGATGGATCCTCTGGCTTTGCTGGAAAAGATGCAGGAAAAGGTAGCGACGTATCAGTAGACCGCCCATGTATAACAGATGTCGAAATGTACACTATCACTACAACAAACGCCGGCTTAGCGGGTTTTGTATTATAGTCATGATGAACGCAGGCCAAGCCTCCTGCAGCACTATTAGTCGTCCTCTTACGACGACGGACCACTCCCATTCTCACTTCCGTTCCCAAGGTATATCCTCACCGGTCATCCGCAACTCCATGAAACAATCCCATTGAAAGAACAAAAAGTCAACAAGGCAGCACACACATCGCCCTCCCGTTCCATCATCTAGTCCTATTGGAAGTGCTGTTCGCCTGCTGATGGAACAGCGGTCTACAACAGATTTTTAGTACGTGAAAAGATCATCATATTGTCGGGGCTCACTCACCGCTTGTACTTCTCGTCAACCTCGCCGCCGGAACTCTCAATGCGCTCGACCAATTCCTGACGCTGTCTGAGCTGCTCCTTCATAAACTCCACAGTCTTTTTCAAGACGAGACCCTCAGAGCGGCCCTGTCCCTCGAGACCGGGGACCAGCTCCGTCAGGCGATCGAAGCCCTCGCGGATGGCCTGGCGTCGCTTTTGCTCTGCCAGCGAGCAGTACGTGTTAGCGGATTTCGTCAAATGCGCCAAAGGGAGTGAAGGAGACTGTGAAGGAGTGTGCGCGCGCAATGTGTAAAAAGCCATGAAGTTACTAAAAGGGGGAGTTTCCGACGTACCAGACGCGATGTGATTCTGCTTCTTCTCAGCCTCGGTCAGGCGCGGCTTCTCTTCTGGCTGCTCGGCATCCGCGGCCGCTGAAGGAGAATTGGACTTATTTGGGGACGACATGACGGCGGGCACATTCGGATTCTTCCAGCGCAAGCGGATGCAAAGAACGAGGGTGAATTATAAGTGGAAGTGATCCATGTATGACAACAGCTGTCGGTACCTTTACTCGTGGGTTGACGTTGAAGAGAAAAGAGTATGGGGTATACCTGAGTGTATGAGTGAGGGAGTGTGCGTTTCGCACGATCACATGCCGTTTCGCACCGAAGCTCTGAGATCAGATCCCCCTCCAGACTTTCCTCCGCATTGCGATTTGCAGAAAGCCACCACCACCCCTGTCCGGTAAGGTTCCTGCAGCACGTTTGGTTCCGCCCGCAGGGCTGTCTACCTTGGCTGGCACCGCCGGAACAAGAGCTGAACCTGTCCCCCAACGCTCCTTAGAGAAATACATATATGCCTTACCTTACCAATATGCCTTACCTTACCTTTCCTTGCCTAGGTACCTGAGGGTAAGTAGCGTGGTAAGGCAGGCACACGGTAAAGACAGATAAGATAAGCCCAAGGAATCATCACCGCGTGGATCTGGCGGGGTTGGCACGTCCCAAGCCTTCAAGGCTGGGTGACCTCATTGGCATTGGATCGGGATTGATTGCTCATCCAGAAATTCTACAGCTTGCCGGCCCACAATCTGCTATCCGTACGGAGTAGACCTCCTTTCTTTCCGATAGCTGCACTTCAATTCACATCCTTGCGTTACCATACTCTCAAAAGGAACAAATCCAAGATTCATCCAGAACACCCAATTGACACCGAATCTTGTCCAACTTCCGCACAGATCTAGCGCTTCACTCTTCACACAAGACACACCTACACGTCATCACCAACACCACCATGGCCGACGTAAAGACCGCCTCCGACCCTCCACCCGATTACACAAAGGCCACCGAGCACCTCACCCGGCCACGAGCACCCTCCGCCGCAGCCGGCGGTCCCGGCGGCCCACGAGGGCCGCTGCCCCTCAACCTCCCCGTCCTCTCCTACCTCAAAACCAAGCGCGTCATCCTCGCCTCTGCCTCCCCGCGGCGGCGCGCCCTCCTCGCCCAGATCGGCCTCAAGGACCTCGAAATCACACCCTCGACGAAGCCCGAGGACCTCGACAAGTCGGCCTACGGCCCTTACGAGTACGTCTCCGCCACGGCCCGCCAAAAGTGCCTCGACGTCTACGAGACGGCCCTGCAGACGCACCTCGCCTCCATCCCGGACCCGGACCTCGTCATCGCCGCTGACACCGTCATCGTCACCCGCGACGGCCGCGTCCTCGAGAAGCCCCGGAGCGAGGCCGAGCACATCAAGATGCTGCGCCACCTGCGGGATACCCGCGTGCATAGGGTCCTGACGGCCGTGTGCGTCGTCGCGCCGAGGGAGGACGCCAGGTCGCCGGGCTACGAGATTTGCCAGCACACGGAGGAGACCAAGGTCTACTTTGCGCAGGAGGCCAACGGCTTGCCGGACGACGTCATCGAGGCGTACGTCAAGACAAGGGAGGGCGCGGATAAGGCGGGCGGGTACGCCGTGCAGGGCATGGGCGGCATGTTGCTCGTCGAGAAGATTGAGGGCAGTTTCGATAACGTGGTTGGCTTGCCGGTGCGGCAAACGCTGGCGCTGGCGGAGAAGGCCATCTTCAAGCAGGATGAGGAGGAGGTTGCAGAAGACGAAGAAGAGGACCTGATGTGATTTGGTTTGCCCAAAAAAAGAAGAGAGATGGAATAGAGAGACCTGCTACATACCCCCGGCCGCCTTCTCAATACGAGGAGGAAACACATTTAGAGAGGGCGCCAAAAGTTGATGAGATGCCCTGGTTGTTGGCCTTGAAGTTAGATGACGAAATGAGCTTCTTCATCTTTACATATAGCTAAAAGCCGTGTTTACTGCGTAGCAAAAGCTCATAAATTAAAAATAATGAAGCGGGCTCACTTGTCAATCACAAGCAAATAGTACTCATCGGACACTTCCAATGAGTAGCCACATCAGTGAAAGTATTGAGACGAAGTCCTTACTTGCTACAGTGGTTTTCCATCACTCATAGTAACCTAGTCTGGTCTTGTCGACTGCTTTTTCGGATCACCAAGTCAGTAAATCAAATATTCACAAGGGAACTTTGCGAAAATGACCTCTTCCTTAAGAGTACGGTATCTGAGTCCAACGACGTTTACCGCTCCTGCTTCGCGTCCTAATAGAGCCTCTGCCCCCGAAAACCTCGTCATCATCTACAGAATCAGTCATACCCAGCGTAGTGATCTCGCTACAATACTATTGTCAACGGTCTCGCGATATAATTGGGCGCACTCAATCAATCTCACCGACGTAACCATCGCTTTATAAATCATGATTTCTTGCGTTCTCATGCAATTATAATGACTCGGTCTTTAGATTTTGATGAGATTGTGCAGTGTGAGTTATGTCATAAGTTAACAATAGTCATGTCACCCAAATTTAGCTGAGAAATCAGAATAAGACGAACCCTTCCTCTATGGTTCCTCTTGTAGCTAACTAGTACTTCTGTGTAACCGAGGCTTGCAGCTTCCATGCTCTTATGCTTACGTGTTTCCTGCTTCTGTGTTTCCATCACAGTACCATTTGGCATTCAGTGAGAGGTGATTCTTCAGCACCACTCAAACAGAGACTTGCAGACAGCGAATGGCATCAAATCGGCTTGTATCACGTCTCATCTGCCCGGTCCATATACAGAGGGCAAACTAGCCCAAAGCGAAAAGAACAAGGTACCGAGACCATTGGCCTAACTTACTGAAGCTGCCAGCCACCATGTCTGACAACAATGTGGGTGTGGAATCTCAGGGAGACTGTGACTCTAGGGAGAGCTGGCCTGGCATCTTTCTAAGCCCGTCGTCTGCCGATGTAGGATTTCGGTCCGAAATGGCTCTCCAAGATCGATTACGCACCCTGACGATGGCCTTCGTTTCTTACAAAAGTAGCCCTTCTAAGGCCACTTAAATCTAAATTCGAAATTACAACATCGGCTTTCATGAACGTACTACCAAGAATACGTCTAGGCGGTCTTTATTCATGAGCCACAAGGCGAGAATCTGACAAGACGGAGCTGCAGCTCTTACTTCCAGCCGGCACGGGTAGCACAAGAGTCTCGGACGCCGAAAAGCCTCGAGCCCCGAAAAATGCTTTCTGCGGAAACGGGCTGACGGGCGTCACGCGGTTGGCAGGGGGGAACGGCAAGTGGCTGTCTACCCCGGCCCGATATGTAAGGGGTTATCTGGCGGGCAACGGTGAAGAGAGACAGTGATGGCGTCTAAAATAGGTAAGTGTAGGTCAGATGATTCAGAGACATTATCAAGTGCTTGGGTGGTTGTGTAACATATACAGGGCGTTGAGCTGAGGCGGTTGACTTAGTATGGAATGGACATGTTCTTGTGTAACCATCCTGCTAAGACGAAGTATTTATTAAGTCAATTGGCGGGAAGAGAGATTTCATTGCCAGCGTGTAAAATTTTCTTGTCGAAAGGAGGTACAATTAGTGTATAGCTGCAGGGAGTGATGTTGTGTCTTCATCGACATTTGTTCCAGGGCGTACTCGATCGCGACGTAGAGTTCTGGAATGCTCTATATTCAACCTCAAGGCTCTGGTTTTATTGTGTATATCGTTTATTCATGTAAGAAAAAAACTCCTTGACTCCTGGGTCGTATCCAACGCCCTCTGATACGTGCACTGCGGGTATTTGTGGCTCCGAGATATCTGTGATATCATCCGATGCGTGAAGTAGATGCCATCATCGGGTATTGCGTATGCCTGTAACATGCCTCTTGGTATCTTTCCCGAGGTATCGCCTATTAATATTACTAACTGGTTCACCACGTCTCTGCATCATCGTGAGAGCCTTCCTCGCTTCAAGATTTTGTCGGCCGTCTGAGGGGATGAGCCTCCGTGTTGAAAACCCACTCATCCAAGCTCATGAGCTCCGGGTCGGAGAAGATGAGGTAAAAATACTTCAACGTCTCAGCAAAGAAGAAGCTCTCCATGGTATCCTCCTGCCGCGACTGGCTATACGTCACATCGACGACGACGGCGTGGGCGTCGTCGGTCTGCGTAGCCTTTTGCACGGCCTCGAACATGTCCCACGCCATATCCAGCAGGTCCGCCTTACCGGTGACCCGGTACAGCACAAAGAGGCTCTCAATGGCCTCAGGACGCAGGTTGTAGTGAGCGTCGTCGATGCGCCAGAATCCCCTGGGCGCGTGCTGGCTGCTCTGCGCCACCCACTTCTGCTCATCCCACTCGCACACCTCGACGGTGTCGCACTTTACGACCTGGGACTTCTCCGGCATGAGACCGCTCTTGAAGGACTTGTACGCCCAGGCGCAACCCCGCGCGAGCTTGTCGCCGAGTTCGACGTCATCGGGTATGTCAAAGAGCTTGCCCGCCATGGCGAACATGCCGCCGGCGAAGCAGGACAGGTGCTCGAGCTCCGAGATTTGGTCAATCTTGCGGAGCTTCTCGTTGACGATGGCGGTGCCGAGGAGCAGGATGTCGTCCTTTTTCGGCGTCATTGGCCGGTAGAGGAGGTGCCCCTTTGCCGCCTTGGCCGCGCCCCTGTACATCTTCTCATAGGCCGTGTCCAGACCGCCGAGGAGGACGTGCATCTTAGGTAGGTATTCGTAGAGCGAATCGCCGTTTCCACCGAGCTTGAAGACGTTATTGGTCGTCTGGAAGTCATCGCGGACGTTGATAAAGTTGGGCCACATGCCGGGCAGCAGCGTCTCGTCCTGGATTCTGTCAAAGGCCTTCTTGATGCGCTCGATGGCGTCGTAAAACTTGAAATCGCCGGTCAACTGCGCAAGCCTTGTGAACTCGAGGGACATGCTGCCGATGGAGGCTGCGCTCTGGTAAGGGTCCGGTAAGACTTTTCCGGCTCGGAGCTCCTCGAAGCTGAAGCTGTAAGGAGGGAAGCGGTTCGGTGTGTCGAATGCCGCATAGAGCATGTTGGCGAGCTCAGCGGCCTTGTCGAGGAGGACTTGCTCCTCGCTGAGATCGTACGCGGATAAAAGTCCACCGAGGTACCGGACATTTGTCTCGAAAATGTTGCATCTTGTCTCCGTCGCATTGTTCCAGTCAATCGTGCTGATGTATTGGACGGCGTCATTAAAGTCGTCATACATGCCCATCAGCCAAAGAGTGTCGAGAGAGTCAACCAGGGTGGCACCCCATCCGTTGTAGCGATTCTTTCCTCTCAATGAGAGGGGTTGCAGTTCGTCGTAACCCCAAGCGTGCCTGGTGTATGATTGCCAGCTTTTCTTGAAGGCGTTCCGTACTTCGTTGCGACGAGAGGCCATGAGGCCAATGTCGAGGCCGATGTCTCTCTTCTTCAGACTGTCTGACCGGTCCGCGGCGAATTCATATTGTATCTTTGGAAGCGAGAGGGGCTGGCCGTTGGGTAGCCTCGTCATCTCAGCCAGAGGGATTGGATGCTTCTGTGGATGTGTAGACCAGTCATAGCTTGTCCTGATGGGTTTGGCGACATCGTCGTTGATGCTAGGAATTTCCTCAAGCTGCACCGGAGTGTCATTCCGTAGTAGGAGAACTGAGAGGACCACAAAGACGACGAGCAGCGCGAGTACCCGGTAGGTCGGCGGGGAGTGGTTTCGCAACTGGAATTTGGCGACCATATTGGACGAAGAATGGACAAAATCGAGGCAGGAGTGACATGCTGAAGACCAGGGCCGGCGGGAGGAGAAAATAGGCGCGGCAGACATTTTGTAGTAGGAACTGACTGTCGTCACTCGGATATCGACCGTGAGAGGACCTTTGGGGAATTTGGAGCTCCTGTTGCTTCTTGCGGCGCTTGACGTCTCGAAGGTCGGCTGTCACTCTGGTGCGTCCCTTTCCATGAAACACGAGGGGTGACCCATGATTTTGTGCTTGACTGCGTCCTTGGATTGTCTGTGCAAAGGGATTAAGGGGGGGTAGTACTGTACGGATAGAGGGGAGGTAGATCACTCGGACTGTTAACGATTTAATCTATGTATGATGCTACGAGCTAACACGCGATTGGACCTCTTTTCCTTTGGGAGGCTGAGTAGACTTGGTTCGAACTGGAATGACGTTTGGCTAACATCGAGGCTAAGGCAGATAGCTCAGGTCAACTCCACGAATGATGTGCAGCATGGCTCCCTAAAGCGTTGCACAAAATGCTTCCGGAAGAGACAACTGTTTGGGAAGAATCCAAAGCAGAATCCAAAGGGAGGACCACGCATGTCATTATGAATCGTTGACTGGTTCTTAGAGGCCGGATACATGTCCCATTCCAACTGCCTTAAACCTAGATAGAATGCTCACCACGAGTCGTCGCATTCTGACTAGGCAGGTAAGTGGAGGTGACGGCTCAAGCCAACAAGAGCGCGTCGTTTCAAGGCACCTGACATGTTTCAAGGAACGTGGACTTTGGGAGGAAACTGACTGAACTGAGTTGACGTCGGCCGAAGGCGCAGACTGAGTGGAGAATGGGAAGTGGGAAGAAAAGGCGACCTGTGGGGGAGAGTGGCTGAAAACGGCGGTCCCGAATCTGAGACAGTTGGTATACCCCACCGGGCCGAGCTTTTTCGGTCTTTTCCACTTTTTGACGGAAGCAAATTCGGGGGCCCGTAACCATCAGCCACACTCTGGCAAGTCTGTGGCTGGAGCTTTACCTGCACTACCTTGCTTGACCGCCTAAATTTTTCAAATTTCTGCCGCATCCCACCTTGCCCAGGCGGCCCAGGATCGTCGGTGCACTTTCGTCGCCTCAAGGGAACGGCCGACCATCTTTTTTTCGCGAAAAGAGATCCTTTTGGTTGCACAACCTCAACCCGAAGTAACAATGTCTTCTATGCGCAACGCCGTCCAGCGTCGCTCTCACAGGGAGCGCGCTCAGCCTCTGGAGCGCCAACGTTTCGGCCTCCTCGAAAAGCACAAGGTTTGTCGTCTTAGAGGCTCTGCAACAACTGCCCGTCGAGATGGTTTTACTGACTGCTCATTCCTCGTCTACAGGATTACTCCCTCCGTGCCAAAGACTACAACAAGAAGAAGGCAACGATCAAATCCCTCCGCGAAAAGGCCGCCGACCGAAACGAAGATGAATTCTACTTTGGCATGCTCAGCCGCAACTCCATGGGTTCGCGCCTCAAGGACGGCAGGAAATGGTCCGGTACCGTCGCCGGCGACCGCGGCAACAAGGCCATGGATATGGACACGGTGCGGCTGCTCAAGACACAAGATGTCGGTTACATACGCACCACGCGCAATGTCATCTCCAAGGAGGTGAGGCGTCTGGAGGAGCAGATTGTCCTAATTGGCGGCATCGATGCGGCGAACCACAACGGCGACAACGACGACGACCTGGATTCCGACAGCGATGCCGAAGAAAGTGTCAGGAAAGCTACAGGACCGAGAAAGATTGTCTTCCTGGATGCTGCGGAGGCGGAAGCCAAAGCAAAGTCCGCCGAGAAGGCAGCGATGGACCTGGACGACGAGGACGAGGACGAGTTTGAAGGGTTCGATGACGCGGAGGATAACAACGGCGACGAAGATGCCACGGAGAGCAGGGAAAAGCAGCTGGCGCGGTTACGGCTGCAACTACAAAACGCCAAGAAGAAGCTCAAAGTCTTGACCAGGGCGGAGCAGGGCCTCGAGATACAGCGGGCAAAGATGGCCAAGAGTGCGACCTCGGGCGGCACGACGAGAAAGGGCAAGAAGATCATGGTCCGGGCACGCAAGAGGTGAAAGGATTTTTCAAATTCAGCGTCTTTCAAAAGAATGGTTGGCGAACACGAAAAGCATGGTTGAAATTGGTGTTTTTGGTTGTTTTTTAATCGTGTCTTCATTTCAAATCCTAACATTCTGAGCGGCTATGGAGGGATGGAACCTCTCATATGCTTGCTCAGAAAAGTCGTCATGCGATACCCAAGGACACCCCGGAGTATAGATCTACATGTACAAAGAAGGAATATCATCGCTCCCTATCCTATTCCTGGATAGGGACTCATAAGGAAACTCCCATTATTCCATCAACCCCTTAAACCTGTGAGAGACGAAACCAGTACGAGAACAATGCATCAGCTCAAAAGTGGTATCTCATTTCCTTCCCTATCATTCCCGTCTTCATCATTTTTCTCTTTCGCTTGGAGGTCACTTGGACTTGACACCGACGCACCTGGCAAGCCCCTTGACAATGGCAGCAAGGGCTTTGAAGCCAATCGTCAGCAGCCAGACGAGACATTTGAACAGCCCAGCCACGACCTTGAAGAGCGCTCTTAAAGGCCAAGGCAGCCTGTCGCGCGTCTCCTTGCCAACCTGCTCCAGCTTCGCAAAGCTGCTGTCCTGGCTCTCGACGTCAATCTCAAACTCCTCCATCTTACCCCTGCGCGCGGCCGCCGCGGCCCTCTTCTTCTCCTCCCTCTTGCTCAACCGGCTATCGCGGCCGCTGCCGCCGACAGGATCGTGCGGCGCCGGGGGCGGCTCAAAGGTCTCGACCTTTGTGTTCTTCTCGTCCGCCGCCGCGACGAGCATGAGCGCCGCGACGGCAACGTCGACGATGAAGAAGCTGTCAATCTTTGCGGCGATGGCTGTGTCGACCTCGAGGTAGCCGCCGCCCGTGCCGTCGCGCGTCAGCTTGGCGAGGTGCTGCGGCGACTCGTGGTGTTCGAGCGTGTACTCGACCCGGCTCCAGGCGGGCGAGCGCTCAATAGTGACGCAGAAGGGGGTGGCGAGGGCCGGGTGGACAAGGAAGTGTGAACGGGAGTCCTCGTCCCAGACGAGGCGGGCGCACTCCGTCTCGGCCGTCATGATGGCGTTCATGTCGCCCGGCTTATCGAGCGCCATCTTGGCGGCCGCCAGCGGGTACAGGAGGGCGACGAGGCCGTCGTTGGGCGGGTGCTTGCGGGATTCCTCTTCCAGGGTGGTGGTGAGGACTTCCTGCCAGTGTTTGCTCTCGGCGCCTTTGCCGTTGTTATTGTCCTTGTGACCGACGACGCCGGAAAGAATGCTGCTCGCTGACGAGCTTGCCATGGGGTTCGGGGCCTTGTAGACCTTGGCCGGGTCGTGACGGCTGAGGGTGACGTATGCTGATGCAGACGTGGGATCGAGGCGGATGTTGTAAAAGGGCTGTGATGTCGAGGAGAGTGTGTACACGGGTGCGTCCTTCTCCTGGGACAGCTTCATGCAGTACACTCTGCCTTCTGAAGGGGGAGCTTTCCAGCCGTTGGAGACTTTCCACAGGCTCTTCATGTGCTCATTCGATGAGACACTCGGGATGATGGGAGGCTCGATCTGTCTCCTTGGCCATCTCTGCGCTGAGGCTCCGCTCAGGGGACTTCTCATAGGAGGACTCCTGTGTTGGTCATTCTGGCCTTCCGCTTCCTGTGGATTTGGATACCATGTTGTCCGGTTAATCACGGCCCGTGGGATATGAGTTGGGCTTGTTTGCGTGGGGAAGTAGTCTTGTTGGTTGAGAGGCCTTTCCGGGTTATACTGAGGGAAGATGGATCGTAGAGGAGGTTGTTCTTGCGAAGACGACGATGGCTCCTCGGGGAACGGAAGCTTTGCTATCGAGCTCCTGGACCGCGTGCTGTTGTTCCGTACAAGCGTATGTGCTTGTGAGAAGGCGGTGTCTGACCGGGGCGGGATATCGGCAACGGGAGGGGGCCTTTGAATGGGCGATGCCTCCGTGGCCGACGACGCGGGCAGGGCCGGCAGTTCGCGGCTACGCGGCGAGGGCTGTTGATATTGCTGCTGCTGTTGCTGCTGCTGTTCACCTGATGGGGCCTGGCGGATGCTTTGTGGAGTTTGCGATCGCTCAACCGGTGTTTGGACTCTCTGTTGCGGCGTTTGTCTTCCGTGACGCGGTGGAGACGCTTGATCGACGTGGTCAACGCTCTCAGGAGACACAGCCCGGGGCCGCTCACGCGATTCTGATCTTCGAGTTCGAGATGCCGGCCTCCTTATTGTTGGGGGCTTGGAGTTGGGGTTCGGGAAGAGTGAGTACCCTCCAGAGGGGGGCTGTGTCGACGACGACATGCTGGGCTATGCTGGGGCGGATTATCTCGACTCGAATGTTGTCGTGGATTTTTTTTCTCCCCCGGTGTGATAATGATATCCAGATCTGGTCACGAAATATGGGGGAGGGGGGGATGGCCTGAAAGGAATGAAGAACAGGTAGTCCAACTGCTACCGATGCATGATATCCAACCCAGTGGGCACCAAGGCAAACAACAAACAAGTTTATTATTGCTGTACTAGGTAGACAACACAGATGAAAGGAAGAGAAAAGCCGTGTAAACATACGACTACCAACGATACCAAGAGAGTGTATATACGAATTACCTTACTCTCGTTCCCCCCTTTGAAACAGCGGCACTACTGCGCGTGGTACAGGGCGGCAGGTCACCCACGGGATGGCCAGTGTAAGCGCTGGGCTTCTCAACAGACGGGCCGCGGTGAGTGGGTGAACCGTGAAGCCAAAGAGAGGATGGAGGGGCGGCCGAATGGGGGGAAGGATGGTGGTGGTCGAGATGGGTAGACGGAAATAGATTGTGAAAGGTTGCAGGCTGGGCCAATCAGCCAGACCATCACACTGCATTCTAGGCGCCGAGACCAGGGTGGTGAAAGACAGGCGCGCGGGGTTGGTTTAACGGGAGACTTCATGCCATTGGCCAAGCTCCCCAAATTGGCTGGTCACTTTATTGATCTCATTGAACTCTGACCGCCCTTGATGTTCTCTTTGGGCTTGGGGTTCCTGGGGATTTGCGAGAATGCCGACGGTGCAAGGTCTTCGGGCATCGAAGCGAGAATGTAACGCGGGAGACTACCCTGTCCTAGCCGGGGCCGTAGAGGCACCTTGCATCCGCCGATCGTATGGGAAGTGCCCACGTTCCACATGGCTTCGAAAGAGAAAAAATCATCGATCCATCTCTGTTCCGACAAAGGTCAACTTTTTGGTCTAGGAAGTCATAGGTCTGCCCGTGAGACAACTCATAGGTTTCGGTCTTGCGTCTTTTGGGGTGATGAGACGGTCATGAGTAATCCTGCAGGCGGAAGAAACGTTTCCAATGATGGAGGCAGACGTCTTGGGGTAATTTGATTCAGCGCCTAGTTCGAAGGTTGCCGCGAAGCAGCAATGGGTGGTAGAAAGGTGAAGGCGATCGGGCAAAAGACCGGCCGTGGTCGGCTGGCTGACTAGAGATTCTGGCGGTCTCTTTACCGGAGTCCCCGGGCTCGGGCGATGTTTCTGGGGCCGGGCGTCGCCGATACTGTCTCCGATGGTCGGCGCACTCTATTCTTTTGTTGGTGGGCCCGGCATCCGAGTAGGTCGATTTCGCTCCGTGTAAGAAGCCGACTTAGTTTTCATGGTACTACTCGCTCTTTCTGTCATTGATCATTTTGACACGGTTGTCGTACGCTTCCCCCCACCCCCCGTTTTCAGTAGGTACATCGTTCGCGAGATGGCACAAATCGTAGTGATTGGGTAACTAAGCATCCCTCGTTTCTTCAGATTTGGCTGGTCGCTAACACGAGACAGAGCCGGCGTGATCGGGTTGAGCACTGCTGTAAGGCTTCAGCAGGATGGCCACAAAGTAGCAATAGTGGCCAAGGATTTCCCGAGTCCGTTTGAGACCGTTGACAGCAAAGCTTCAATCAACTACACCTCGCAATGGGGCGGCGCTCACAACCGTTGGGTCATACCGGCCAACGACATGGAAAAGCGCGATCATGCGATGGCCCTCAGAACGTTCCAGCACATGGAGTCCCTGGTGAAGAGCAATCCTGAAGCCGGTATTACTTTCATGCCTGGCATTGAATACCTCGATGATCCTCCGGCACAGTATCAAGCTCTCAGCGAGGAAAAGGCCCAGAGCTTGGGACTGGTAGACTTCCGGCTCCTGAACCCGACCGAGTACCCAGATGACAAGGTGAAGTGGGGATGCGAGTACAAGACATGGTGTGTGAACCCCATGATCTACTGCTCCTTCCTCCTTCGCAAGTTCTCCTGGAATGGCGGCCAAATCTTCCGCAGAGAACTCAGTGATGCTCGTGAAGCGTTCTCAATGAAAGAGTTGCCGAACGTGAGACACGTAGCCAACTGCTCTGGTTTCGGATTTGGTGACCCAAAATCATTCATCACGAGAGGTATATCGACCACTGACATCCAACTTACTTTGGCGACTTTGCTGATGAGGTTCTCCAGGTCAAACGTGTGCAGTCGCCAACTTCAGCCCAGCAACAGTGACAAGACAAAATGCTGATGGAACCTGGACGTTTTGCGTGCCTAGAAATTTCCATGGCGGCACGATTGTGGGCGGCACCAAGGAACCTGACAATTGGGACACTGAACCGTCGCCAGAAGTGCGGGAAAAACTCCTCAAACACTTCGCTGCTACATATCCTAAGATCCTTGGGGACGATGGTGAGTTTCGCGTCCTCAAAGATGTCGTAGGCCGACGGCCGACTCGAAAGGGCGGTATGAGGCTGGAAAGAGAAGAGGTGGGAGAGAAGCGCACCATAATCCATGCTTATGGTCTGGGGGGCAGGGGATTCGAGATGTCCTGGGGTGTAGCTGAGGGTGTACTTGAATTATTGGGAGACTCGAAAATCATGCCGCGGCTTTAGATACGAATACACCATGCTAGAGCATCGGTGTAGAAATTGAATACCGAACTTAGACAGCGTCGATTCAGGAAAACTCGATCAATATTTTCTCAATGTACAATCAGAAGTATGCATGGTCATCAAGTGCCATGGAAAGCATGGAAATACGGAGTCAAGCGATATCGGCGAGGCCGTCTGATTGGGCCATTGATGACCTGCCTGAAAGCGAGAGAGCGTTGGAGAGATGGTGCAGCTTCGGCCGGTACCTGCATGGCGTCACCCGGTGCTGCGTGAGTGGTGGAAGTCCTGGCTTGGTAGCATGTCGCAAAAGATAAAAAATAAAAATTCTCAATTGCTGGAGGCAGAGATTCTATTCGCCTGGATGACCAAGAAGAGAAGAGAAGAAATTGGGTTCACCTCACTGACAACTGCCATCCCATGTCCTTGCCCGCCTGTAATTAACGTGCCTACCGAGCCTACCCCGCGCTCCGATAAGCGGTGAAATAATCAGTCCCCTACGGATACAGGACAGAAGAGTCACACACAAGGTGGGATGTTTTTGGAGTCATTGCCCCACACCCAACTTTCATCATCCTCAACCTTCCCGCATCGAACTTTCATAGCTTCCTCTCCTACAACAGCAATCAATTGTGGTCGCAAAAGCTCAATTCAAGTCGCAAACATGGCCCACACTATTCTTCACCTCCGATCCGAGACCAAGGTGTGCAATGATGCTCGAAACCAACATTGACTTTGAGTATTCCGAGATAACTAACTTTTGACGTCAGCCCTTGGAACACAGGAGCGCCCTCACACCCACCACTACTCGCAAGCTGATCGAGGCTGGCTACGAAGTTAGAGTTGAGAGGAGCCCTGTACGTTGTCACTGATCTACTATCCCTCGTTCGTGAGCAACGAATCACTCACCCGACGATACCCAGGTTCGCATCTTTGACGATGCCGAGTTCGAAGCCGCTGGCGCGACCCTTGTGCCCGAATACTCCTGGGAGTCAGCCCCATCAGACGTGATCATCGTCGGTCTCAAGGAGCTTGAGGAGAAGGAGTTCCCTCTCAAGCACGTTCACGTCACATTTCTCCACGTCTACAAGGTATACAAGACCCAATTGAGCTGGATACCACCAGAGAGCTTGCTGACCGAGGCATAGAACCAAGGTGGCTGGGAGAAGACCCTCAGCCGTTTCCCTCGTGGCGGCGGTACCCTTCTCGACTTGGAGTTCTTGGCCAACGAGTCCGGTCGCAGAGTCGCAGCCTTCGGGTTCCACGCTGGTTTCTCTGGCGCTGCTCTTGCTCTCGAGAACTGGGCCTGGCAGCTCACCCACCCTGGCGAGCCCTTCCCCGCCGTCGAGGCGTACCCCAATGAGGATGCTCTCATCGTCGATGTCAAGAAGGCCTTGGACGAAGGTATCGCCAAGGCTGGTCGCAAGCCCAGAGTCATTGTGATTGGTGCTCTTGGACGTTGCGGCTCCGGTGCCGTTGAGATGGCCAAGAGAGCCGGTGTTGAGGATATCGTCCGCTGGGTAAGTCATTCTCAAGTTTGTCATCGCAACACGCACTAACATAGAGCTACAGGATATGGAGGAGACCAAGAACCCCGGTCCTTACAAGGAGATCACAGACGCCGACATTTTCGTCAACTGCATCTACCTCAGGTACGTCTCTTTGGGAACAACTTCAAACTTGAGCTTATACTAACACATGTTTTCCATAGCCAACCTATTCCTCGTATGTTGCTCCCCTTTTTACCCGGTGTCAAGCATCCGTTCGCATGCTCTGCTGAAAAAGAGTAACATGATCAACTCTTCGAGTCATGATCATGAATGCGTTGACACAATGTACGATTGGCGGAGTTGCAAGCTGACCATGCTCTTCTAGCTTTCCTCAACCGCGAGTCTCTTCAGGTCCCCGGTAGAAACCTCAGCGTGATTTGCGATGTTTCTGCTGACACCACCAACCCCCACAACCCGAGTAAGCTACCTTGATACGAATCAATTAACTAGACAATGCTGACAATGCATTCACTCATAGTCCCCGTCTACACTGTGGCTACCACCTTCGACAAGCCCACTGTCCCCGTCGAGGGATTGGAGAACCCTCCCCTGAGCGTCATCTCCATCGACCACCTTCCCTCTTTGTTGCCGAGGGAATCTGTAAGTTTGACAACGTTGAAACAGCATTTGAGACAAGTGTAGCTGACCTCAACGACAGAGCGAGGCCTTCAGCAACGACCTGCTGCCTACCCTCCTGAACCTCAAGGACTGGCGCAACGATTCTGTCTGGGCCCGCGCCGAGAAGCTCTTCCAGGACAAGGTCGCCCTGCTCCCCGCCGAGCTCCAGAAGAGAGAGGCCTAGTGGACCCCTATTCGGTCGTACCTTTGTTTCTAGAATGGAATTTGGCGTTTTCAGGGGTGGAGGATCTTATGAAGAAAAGCGGCATATTCAAGCCGGATGAACGGCCAAGCCGGGTTGCCAGATAGATCCAAAAAGCTTAGATCATGAGTGGACAGACTCGAGAAATGATACACACAGCTAGAGCTAAAAACTTGAGGCTCTTATGCTATCTGTGACAATGACCGCCATCTCTAGGCTTCGGCCCCCCTTTTTAGATTGATATAGTCTACATGGTGTGAAATGTTGTGTGTGTATTTGTACAAGCCGAATGGCCGCGCCATAGAGCAGGGTGTCCCAAACCGTAAATCCAGAACGCCCAACAAATGCATCTCCCTTCCCCTTTTCTTTCGCAACACGGCCAAAATCCGCGCACCTCCCCCGAACGACCTTCTCCCCCATACCAGTGCTCAAGTCATCACCGCCTCTCCTCCGCCGCAACACTCTTCCGATCCCGCGCAGCGTACCCGCCCACGCGCTCGCCCAGCCTCATCTTCTCTTCCTCCTTCCTCCTCGTCTCGGCGTCCTTTTCGGGGAGGCCCCACCACTCGCGGATAAAGTCCTCCTGCTGCGCCTTCTTCACGGCTTTGCGCTCGCGCTCCTTTTGCCGCTCCATGCGCTTGGCAAACCACTCCTCGCGCGCGGCGTCGTGCTCCTGCGGGGTGGCGTGGGCCTTCATGCAGCCGTTCATTGCGCGGAGCTGGGTGCGGCAGACGAAGGAGACGGTGAAGGTGCGGTTTAGGGCGCAGTCTGCAAAGGCTGTTTTTTGTTTTCATCGTTAGCATCTAGATTTTCCGTTTTTTTCTTCTTCTTCTTTACAAGGAAGCTTCTTGAGATGGAGGATTTGTAAGGGAAGGGCTGTGCTTTGCTTCGGGAGAATGGGACTTGAAAGGAGGGCATAATCTTCGGAGAGCTAGAGAGGGAGAGAGAGGAACAGAGGGACAGTTTAAGGTGACTTCTGGGGAAGCTGGGCAAGAACAAACCCTTGATCTCGGGTGCGCAGGCGTTTCGCACGCGCGCGTGGTAAATGTCTCTGATCTGCGCCTCCTGGGAGGCCGAGAGGGGGAGCGGGTTGCGCGAGGGCATCGGCAGGCCCTCGGGGGCGCCGCCGGTCGGGTTCTGAGCCGCCATCGCGGCCATCAATTGACGAGAGGAAGGCGATGGGAAGCGGAAGTGTGTCCGCTCGTTCGGATCGGCCGTCTGGTCGGTCGAGGGATCGGGAAAGAGTTCGAAATGGACGCCGGCGTTTTCGGAAGGTCGGGCGGCTCGGTTTGTTTCTTCCGGGGGAGTTCGTAGAGACGGTCGTCAAACGGCAGCGAGCCTTGGTACTCGATTGAACGTCCCCTATGTACAAGGATAAATCGTGTCACTTTTGTTTCGTTCAATGGTCTGTCGGCAGATTTCCAGAGGGCGGCGGGTTTGCGCGGGTGGTTCGATCTGGGTGGGTAAATCTACAGCTACCCGTTCGTTCCTCTCGCGAAATGTGACCCGTGCTTTCTGACGGAGCTTGCCAATTGAGACTTTCTGCCGCCGCCGGTCGGATTGACCGCCTGCCTTACTTGGTGCCAATGTCAGCGACCAAGCAAGCCTAAACGCAATAGACCTCAAGAAAGCAGCCTCCTGAATAGCATTTGGCGTAAGGAAATTGAGGTATAACAGTGCTCCATGTTATTCTAGACAAGTATCATCTACAACCAGTAGATCGGGTGGGTATCTGGTCATTTTCACTCGATTATCTGGATTCATGACAACATTGCTTTTGGAACGCCTGATCTTTTGTTTTTAATTATTTTTGCAAAACACTACATCGCTTCGGCCGTCTGACCCCAATAGATTCGCTGGATTCACTCGTCTTTCTTGTCTTCTCCGTCGACCTCGCCCTCAGGGGTAGCCTGGTGGAACTCGAGGCTTTCTCGGTTATCCTTGCCTTTCTTCTTCATAGAAAACTTACTGCTCCAGCCAGAAATTCTGCTTTCCTTGGCGTCTCTAGATTTGGCTGGGCCTGCGGACGGGCTACTGGTGACGCTTTCATAGCTTCGTCCAAGTAAACCCTCCTCGCCAAAGTCGTCAATGTCTCCAAAGCTGGATCGATCCGCAGACAAGTTTTTGTCCGAGTTCGTGGTGCTCCCAGGTCCTTTCTTAAAGAGACTCGAGTCCTTGCTTAGACGAGACGAAAGACTGAACTTGCTGGAACTGCCTTTCCTGAAGAGCTTCCTGTAGGCATTCTCCTGGTCCTTGGTATTGGAGTCAGAAAGTGTATTGGACACTGCCCTATCAAGCGTCAGAGACTCCCGGGATTCAGTGACCGACGCCTGTGTGTGGACAGAGAAGGCATCGCGGGACTTTCTGGACTCTGTCGGAGACGCATCGTAGCCTTGCGGCAGGTCTAGGCTGGGCGTGGAAACATCCCTCGTCTTGCCTTTCTCCTTTGCGTCCTTGTCTTTGGCTTTGTCCTTGGCTTTGTCCTTCGATTTTGACTTGTCCTTCTCTTTGCCCGAGTCACTTTCTTTATCCTTACTGCGGAATAGTCCCCCAATAGAGAAGGTCGGCGCTGCTGGGTTCAAGCTCTTGCTCAACAAGGATTTGTTATCTGAGTTCTGTTTGCTGGCTGGTGGTCGGCTGCCAATGACGCCAACCTGACTCGGCGAGACTTGGGGATCGTTCAAGGCCTCATGATCTAGGATTTCGTCCTCGGCTGACGCCAGTGTCGTTTTGAGAGCCGCTGGCGAGCCGTGGAGAGAGGGTCGTCTGGATGGAGTCCGTGACGCCCAACGCCCATCAGCTGGTGACCAAAACCGGTTTCCTCGATCAGCTGGATGATTCCAAATGGATCCGCTGTCGGTGGACGGTCGTGGCAAGTCCGCAGAGGCCATGGAAGCCGGTCTAGGACTGCTTGGATCTCGGTCCGCGTACGAATTCCATGGTATCAGCCTGCGAGCCGATGAAAACATGCTGCGTCCCAGGTTCGATGCACTCGCCGCCTCAAGAGTGTCAGGCCCAGCAGAGTTCCGATTCTGTGTGTAGGATGAGAAGCTAGTTCGGCGTCGATTGGTTCCATCCAGTTCATCGGTCTGCCGAGGGAAGGACTGACTCTGGCCGTGCTTTAGGCTGCCCAACATGGGGCCACCGTCATCAGCAGCTTTAGAGCCTTTAGTTCTGTGCCAATGAATCAAATCCGTGAATCGGTGTCCATTTGCAGCTGGCGATGGCTGTCCCCCGGGCGAGGACGTGATGTCTTTAAGGGACGAGGGATCGCCGTTATCAGGTGCAAAGGGTGGGAAAGCGGTGACATGCGATGATCCTGGGGGGCTAGAGGGAACACTATTCGAGCGTCTGGATGATCCTGGCGACTGAGCATCATCTTCGTAACCCGGAATGAACGGGCTTCTGCGGGAGAGAGAGTCAGGGCTGCTAGGTTCGTCGTCACCCAAGATGCCAGAAGGTAGGAGAGCAGCCGCCGTAGGGCTGAGCGGTGCGTTCCCTGTGAGAGCCCTAATATCAGCGTCGGAGAATTGGTCGCCCCCAAAGGCTTCGCCCCCGGGCATGTCCAGGAAGTGCGAGAACGGGGCTCGACTGGTGAATCCGATCGGAGGATCGAAGGGAGAATCCGAGGCTGAGAAAGGACCCGTAGGCGATGTGACGGTGTTAGGAAGAGCATTTCCGGTGCGGCTTCGACGCTTAATTTGTGCCGAGGCGTTCGGGTCGAATTCGACGCCGGAAGAATTCGCCTGATTGTAGAACTGCATGCTCTGTTGGTTCTGAGCGTAGACTTGGGCATGTAGGACGTGGATGTGACCCTCAAACTGTTGAGCCTTCCTATTCTCCATGATGAGTTGACTCTGAAGTTCTCGGCGCTTCATCTCGAAATCTCTCTTCATTTTCCGGTCGTCCTCTCGCCAAGTGTCGTCTTCCTCGCCACCAGGCAGCTTTCTGCGTGCATCCTCAAGCTCCTTGAGCTGTTCCTTCTTTTCCTTGTATTCGGTCTCGAGTTGGGAATACTCATCTTGCAAGGCAGAGTTCTCCTCGTCCAGGTGCTTGATCTTGAGATCACGGCTCTGCGCAAGACTTTCCTTTTCCGATGCAAACCCGTCGCGAGTTTTGCGCATACTTTTGGCTTCAGCGACACATTTCTCAATGTTATCCATCGCCTTCTTGCGCTTTTCTTGCTTCTCCTTCAACAGGTTCTCCTTCCGCGCCTTCTCCTTGGTGGCCTGTCTCATCTGTTCGCCGGTAGACTTGACCTTTTGCCTCAACTGCGCGGTGTTATCGTCCTTCTCTTTCTGAATCTTCTTTTTCTCCTCCTTTTCCTTTTTCAACCGCTCTTCGAGCTGTCTGAACTCGCTTTCTTCGGTTGCATGTAAGGATGCTGTCTCCACAAACTCCTTCCTCGATCGTTCCAAGGTGTCGGCCAGTTCCTTGAGCGACGCCTCAGGGTGGTCGCTAGGAAAGTCCTTGATTGACGGCTGCTCCTGACTTGCTATGGACGGGGAGTGTCTGCGATTGACAGTGTTGCGTCTCTGGCCGGAAGTACTGTCTCGCGCAGCGGTGGATCCGCCTTCAAGAGACGGTGCCGCTTCGATGGTGGGCACCTGGCTACGACTGCCATTGTCTTCGACGCACGGAGTTTGTCCGGGTCGCGGATCTTGATCTTGGAAACTGTCGGGTAGTCTCGAATTGCCCAGTTCTGGCCGTCCATCGGATCGATAGGTGCGCAGTCTTATAACCTGGCTACCAGCCTGGAAGTTGTTCGGTCCAACGGCAATGACTCGTATATTATAGCAGTGATTGGGCCTCAGACCCGTAACAGTAATAGCCGTCTCCTCCTGCCTCGATTCGCCAACTGTGAAGGTATGTCAGTTTCGTCTTCCATGGACCACCGAACGAGTCGAACAAAGACTGACCATTTACGCCATTGACCTGAATCAGGAATTTCTGCACAGGTCGGTTGTGTGTTGGTCGCGTCCAGTTGAGAGTCGCGGCGTCGGGTCGAATTCCGGCCAAAGATACATCGGGGGCCTCGGGAACGTCCACTCCAAGGATGCTGATGAGATCGGTTGTCGGCTTCCAAAGAGTCTGCCAGGCGCGGTGGAGCAGCCTTCACATTGTCAGGAAAAGGTCGTCACAAGGATCGCACGTGTCGGAAGAAGTGGTAGCAAACAGCAGGATAAGGCGGGGAAGCGGAAGAGGCGCGTGGGTGAAACTGACCAAATGACTGCGGCGAGAGTCACCAGCATACTGGCATGCCGCACAAGCAACTCATCCAGACTCCAATAACGAATACCCTCACGGGTGTAGTGTACGGACCAAGCGAGACAAAGTTGTGCGTAAATGGGAGCGATAACCCAGAATGTTGCAAGGCTGGCGGCGGCCAGAACGAACTTTTGGAAACGGCTATTCGGTCGCTTGAGCCACCAGGCGATGAGGGAGCTTACGAGGAGGAATTTCATGAACAGGGTCCATAACATCGCCGCTGCCAAACGGGAAAGAAAAGAAAGTGGAAGTTGCGGAAGAGTGGAAGAAAAGCGAAGGAGTAAACCTTTCGCTAGTCCTCTCTGGCGCGGTCGGTTGGGAGGAAGGATATGTCGGTCAAGAAGGGAATAAGAAGGAGGGATGAAAATCTCGGCAGTTGTGTTCTCAGCGGCGGCGATGTTGACAAGCCCAGGCACAAGTCGTACTAGCAGTATTGCAGACTCAGACTCAGGCGCTGCTGTTCGGTTCACAGTGGCACTGTCCACCAGTCCCCTGTACCGTGTATCGCGGCTAGCGGCTGATACTGTGTGGATGGGGGCAATTGGGGGGTTACCTGACACTGACACGCAGCCCGGACGGCATGGCAGCGGCCAGCTAGGGGGAAGCTGGTACTGTTCGACGCTGGCGCTGGGGGAGATGGAGGGGCGGTAAGGCAAGTAGTGCCGGCCGCCTCGAAAAGATCGGGATGGGAGGGGCATTGCCGCATTGCATTGGACACCGGCAGGGGTGCAAAAGAGAGGCACGAGAGTCTTTCCCCCGTGAGGCGAATGACGGGCAGAGAGAGAAGGAGTATGCTCTACTATTGTGTGTATGTGTATGTGTGTGTGTAAAATGTACCTAAGTAATGTGCATCGTTAGTGAGTGTGTCTGCCGGAGAGAGTGACAGGAAGGGGGATGACTGAAAATACAAGGTTGATCAAGAATTGACCGGATGTTGTTGATTTATACCTCTAATTCACGGCATGTATTCATTTACAATCATGGTTTCAGCCTCGTGGCATTCGAATGGAAATCAAAGGTTAATTGCCTATATCTTGCAAGGTGCTTGTTCGTCCTTCCTCTAAAGTATGGGGAAGCTGCCTCAATTTCAGCCATCCATGCACCCATTCGAAGGGAGTAGCTAAGAGAGTGCAATGTACCTCTGAGTACTGCGTGAAGCACAATACCCATGAGACAGACCACGATGTCGCTGTCCCATTGAATACTGGTGATGAGGGCTGGCGGCATATAGATCGCCAACGATGAGACTGTGGTGTTGAAGTAGATGGATAGTTGTCTTACTTTGAGCCTTAGGTTCTTGATCTTTGACCTAAGGCGCATGGCACGGCGCCTTCCATTCTCCCACCCGCACAACCGCAACTGCTCGTTTCATTCTCGCAAATCGACAACTTCAAGTATCTAGTAGTGCTGGAAGAGTTGCTACTTGATGAAGTAGTCAGAATACCAAGATCTGGCTTCAGGCATGGAGCGTTTTCTGGTCTTTGGGTCCTAGTGCTCCTCGCTAATGAATTAGATTCACTAGAACTCAAGGATGAACGCCACGTCGCACAGCCCCGATTCCCACACCCGACGTAGCGCACATCGTCGAGGTTCTTACGTGAGCCGAGGGTTCAGCTTCATCATCACCATCAACCCAAAAAGCTCCTACTCGTATCCGATACCCTCCCACGCCACGAACTCTGCCTCTCCCGCCCGCAGGATGCTGCACCTGAAGACGCCCCCGGGGCCATGTGCTGATGTGGCTGGTTATTGAGTGTCCCCTGCAAACGAGTTGGAGTGAGGGGCAACCAGACGAAAGCGACCTATCATGCCCTGAAGACGTCTTGCGGCCTTGGAATGAGGGGGTCCCATCCCACCAAGTCTGAAAGCAACCCGACTTGTCCAATCCATTGTACCGGGCAATTGGCGGGTACCTTGTCATCCCAGCAAGCAGCTCCCACTCCAGCACTATATTTGGACCATTGAGGGGTCCTCGGCGGGGACTACAAGTAAGGTGAGCTATCCTCCTGGCGACCTTGGTTGTTTACTTCCACTCCGCCTTTTGCTTCTCCTATTCATTTCCACTTTGAAACTATAGTGTCTATCAAATCAGCTCGTCTCCTGATCATTTTCTAGCTCCAATTGCCTTGATCGAAAGCTCTTCCATTACGATATCCTCCTGGCCCATCATGGAAGCCATCAAGTCCGCTCTCAACATTGGCTCCAGCAAGCCTGCTGCCACCGAGCCCTCTGCCGAGCAGCTTACCCAGCTCAAGGAGAAGTACACCAAAGCTGGACAGGACCACGTCTTCACCTTCTACGATGACCTTCCTACCTCCGAGAAGGCAACCCTCTTCGAGCAGCTGTCTGGTTTCGATCCCGAGCACATCAACAAGATCACCGACCGCGCTCTGAACCCTCCCAAGACTGAAGAAGATGCATCCACCCAATCCGGCCTCGAGCCGTTGCCCGAGTCTGCCACCGCCAGTATCCTCGATTCCAAGTCCGAAGACATTGAGAAGTGGTACCAGTCAGGCCTCGACCTGATCGGACAGAATAAGGTGGCCGTTGTGCTGATGGCAGGCGGTCAGGGCACCAGACTGGGCAGCTCAGCACCCAAGGGCTGCTACGATATCGGCCTTCCCAGCCAAAAGTCACTCTTCCAGATCCAGGCAGAGCGTATTCGCAAGGTCCAGGAGCTTGCCGCGAAGAAGGCTGGCACCAGCAGCGCTGTCGTGCCGTGGTACGTCATGACCTCCGGCCCCACCCGCGGCCCCACGGAGAAGTACTTCCAGGAGAACAACTACTTTGGCCTGGATAAGGCCAACGTCTTCATCTTTGAGCAGGGCGTGTTGCCTTGCATCTCGAACGAGGGCAAGATTCTGCTAGAGTCTAAGGGGAAGGTTGCCGTTGCCCCTGATGGCAACGGAGGTATCTACCAGGCGCTGGTTGTGTCAGACGTCATGGGCGACATGCGCAAGAGAGGCATTGAGCACATCCACGCCTACTGCGTCGACAATTGTCTTGTAAAGGTCGCCGACCCCGTTTTCATTGGGTTCTCGGCATCCAAGGATGTCGACATCACCACCAAGGTGGTGCGTAAGCGCAATGCCACCGAGTCTGTTGGTTTGATTCTGCTCAAGAACGGCAAGCCTGACGTCGTCGAGTACTCCGAGATTGACAAGGAGACGGCCGAAGCCCAGGACACTAAGCAGCCCGGAGTCCTCAAGTTCCGTGCTGCCAACATTGTCAACCACTACTACTCTTTCCGCTTCCTCGAGAGCATCCCCCAGTGGGCGCACAAGCTGCCCCACCACATTGCGCGCAAGAAGATCCCCTACGCCGACCTCAAGTCCGGCGAGACGGTCAAGCCCGAGAAGCCCAACGGTATCAAGCTGGAGCAGTTTGTCTTTGACGTCTTCCCCATGCTGGATCTCAGCAAGTTCGCCTCCATGGAGGTGAAGCGCGAGGACGAGTTCTCGCCGCTCAAGAATGCCCGCGGCACGGGAGAGGATGACCCCGATACCAGCAAGCGCGACATCATGCTTCAGGGCAAGCGCTGGCTCGAGGCTGCCGGTGCTGTTGTGACCGGTGGGAGCGAGGAGGATGGCGTCGAGGTCTCTCCTCTCTTCAGCTACGTAAGTCGTCACTTTCTTGACATGATGTGCATGCAAAAACTAATCTCTATATTTAACAGGGCGGCGAAGGTCTGGAGAAGCTGAGCAGCAAGGAAGTCAAGGCCCCTGCCGTGTTGGAGATGGAGTGAATATGTAGAGCGTAATGACATGGGATGATAGGCGTTTACGACCGAACCGCGGGTTTCGACAAAATATCCGGGTTGATACCTAGGCTACCTAGGCCAAAGGTTGCACAATGAAATGTGCTGCTTCGAATTCTGGAGCATGTATAAAAGTATTGATTCGTTACCAAGCTGGAATTGGAATGAGTGAAGGATGCTCTCGTGCCTCAGCAACCGACTATGTTTTGAGCAGACTCATTCCGTCTTGGTATGGTTGTTGGTTCTATTGCCTTCACGTGGATGCTTTATTTCTCTCATATTCTATTTGTTATTACCAGAGAAACACCCAGTAGCTTTGGCGAAATAACATCTCCAGGGCGGCCAATCGATAGAAATGCAAATGGGAGGCGTAAAAAGGGAAAGATTGCAGGGCGGGAAGGTTACCTTACCTTGCACCGTTGCCAAGCATTCCGAGCCAGATCTTAGGGGCATCTGGAAATTCCTTAGAGTCGCCTCAAGGTTTGGGTATGCCTGCCAAGGCCCGCCACTGGCGACTTGCAAAAAACTTGCACACTGTGCCCGAGTTCCAGAGAATAGGACTTTTGGCCGCGTGGGAAATTTTGTCTACATTGAGATTGGATGAACGCACACACACCAAAAGAGAGAGGCACATGGAAGAGCCCTTGACTGAGATTTCCCCTTCTGAACTGCGGATATTTACCCGAGAAGCGTCCTCTGTCTTCTGTTTTTATGGAGAACGGGTAATAGAGAAAAGAGGGATACCTGCTCCGTCCGTAGACAAAGGGGAAGAGAAAAGGAGAACATGGGTTGTGATTCATGCGCCCACTTCAACCTTTTGCACAGGTGACCTCGGCTCATCGGCGGGAGCCACCAGATAGACCTGGGGGAGGGAAAGCCTGGGAAGTACGAATACACAGTAGGTAGGTGGGTAGATCCATCTTGACCGGTAACGAACGGAGAAAAGCGCCCGGGTGATGAAGATATGACGGAGGAGGGTGATCAAGCCCAACTTTTTGGAGACGAGAACGGCAGAGGAGAGTACCGTACTCTGTATAGTTAGTTGCCTGGCCTTTTGAGTTGCAGTGACACGAGTGACAGAAATGGTGGGGGAGAACATGGAAGGCGTTTCGTCTGGCCCTCTGTATTATCGGGTGAAGGAGAATCGGTCAGAGACTCTGAGGAGATGGAGGGGTAAAGATTTGGGTTATGACATCAGCAGACAAATAGAGAATCTGACTGGACTGTTTTCCCTCCAGTGGTTTCTTTCTCTCATTTGATGAGGAGGGGGGGGGGGAGGCGACGAACTCAGTCCCCAGCAAACAAGAAAAAAAAAGTGTCACGAGTACTTTTAGTTACACCGCCGAGTCAGGCGGCTGGCCCAGTCTAGGGGGAACAGGAGTGTGGAGTGTCGTATTCATTCTGTGCAAAGTACGACGACTGCTCGCTACCTAAGTGTTTCCATGAGGTAACGTACCCGTAGGCAGACGATTAAATGGGAGAGATTGGTGCTAAAGATGTTGTTTTGTCATTGTGTTTTTGGCCCTGATGCGAACCCTTCGAAGAAAGAAGTCAAGGCAGGAACGAGTAGGCACGGACATAGGGAGGAATGACACCTGAAGAAAGTACACCGTAATTCAATTCTCTTGCGTCCAAATTGAACATGGACTTGCAGGAATGGATTCCTCTACGGAGTACGGAGTACTAAGGTACGGATAACTAGTAGGTAATTACCTAGGCATGCCACCTAGGTAAAGAAGGGCCTCGGCTTAAGGTGGCTCATTATAAGTCAAGCCCACCGGTCCCTTTTTCCTCGTGCCACGGAATGCCAGGCCAGCTCATCGTCCTCGCCCGGTTCTCCTAATGCCGGCAATGGCGGCCATGTTAGCGTCCATGGTCCCTTTTTCGAACCTGAGCCAGGTGAATTGCGGTCCATGCCAGTGAGATTTGTGAGGTGAGTGCGGCGCGCCGCGGTACTAAGGTAGGTAGTAGGTAGTCCTGAGCTGGGCCGACCAGGGGTTGTTTTTTTTCCATTGGGGTGGGTTGGCCGTGGCACTCCTCCCCAAAACGGTGAACGTGGTCCGGGGGTTGTTTTTTGGGGGTTGAAATCTTTTTTTTTTCCTGGTCATGGTAATGGTCATAGGCGGCCGGCCTCCCCTTTTGCTGGGCAGATGCAATCCAATGTCCACCTTCACATGATCCGCGGCAGCCAGCGTTAGGTAAGGCGGGCAAAGGAAAAAAAAAAAAAAGAGCAGCCTTGGCCTGCCGTAGCTTGTTGGGCCCAGCGACCAACAAGCAGGGGTTGGCTGCTGGGCTGCTACTTCCCCCCCCGCCCCTGTCCGCGCCAGGCCCTGCTGCCCCCCGTACCTCACTCACCCTCACACTCCCGTCCAGGTCGCTCCTCAGGATCGCCCGCGAGCGCCGCCCGCCGCCGCCTTTCCTTTTAGCTCCCCGGCCTATGCTACTGCTACTAAGGTACCTTACTGCAGCTGCTGCTGCCGGTCCATGTACGAATAGCCGTCCTTCCCCAAAGGATTCAGCTTCGTCATCTTTGCACCATCCCATCCCATCCTCTCCGAACTGCTGAGTGCGGGCACATACGGATACATATGTACACAGGAAAGGCTGCTTGATCCTCTCTCTTCTATGCCCTTTTCTTGCCCTCCTCCCCTTCGCCTCCGACCCCGCGAACCCCCAAACTCTAATCGTG